AGTTAGGCGTTGACTTATTCCTACTTAGGGTTCGGAATAAAATTCCCCGCGCGTGTGAGGCGCGGATTTTGGTGTTATTGATAACGGCCTGCCACAATGTCGAATATGTGGGCTTTTGTCCTTTTCACGGCAAAAGACTAACCGGCAACGCGTGTTAGGCGTTGACTTATCCCTGCTCAGGATTCGGGATAAAATTCCACATGCATAAAAGGCATTCAAGGATGGACAGATTAAAATTCCAAGCATTATATCCGGACTCTAACCATGAAAGTGTTGAGTGCACGAACATAACGGAAGTTTGAATGGATTAAACCAGAAAGAATTTTAGTGGACCCACTGTCAATAAATTTGATCAGTGAGGGATTTTATAGTGGAAGACTATGAGTCGTCGAACACCAATGGGAGTTTTGTGAGGGAAGATTGATCCAATGAAGTGATCGAATCTCGTCTCAGCAAAAGAGTGTTCAGAAATCACAATAAGAGTTTAGTGTTTATCACTTTATTCATAATGATTAGGTTGGTTTGGTGTTTATCACTTTATTCATAATGATCAGGTTATCCCTAAGAATATTACATTTAACATTCTTCTGGAAACTTCCTGTTACATAAATTATCCACCCCCAGCTTTCTTTGTGAAGCTGGGTTTACCATTGTATTCAGTTGCATGATCGGGTTATCCTTAAGAATATTACATGTAAAAATTCTCCAGGAACTTCCCGTCAAGAGTGGGAATAGTTTAGACTCATATACCTATTGGAGTATTAAGAAGCAGTTTATACTCGTATACTTGTCGGAGTGATTGAGAAGCAGTTTTATACTCGTATACTCTTTGGAGTTTTCATTCGGCTCAATTGAGCGATATAACGCCGGTTTCAACCAAGGTTTGGATGCTATTCTTAAGAGCGAAGCAAGCCTTGGTAGGATGAAGGATCCTCCTGTGGTACGTGCAGTACTTCGGATCTGTAGTACCGTCAGCTTCCTCCTGATTTGTGATGGGTGGCAGCTTGACTTTGTTGTTTTCAAGAAGGGTCTCGAAGATGGCTGGAACGTCTTCGTCCTTGAATGAGTACTCTTTTTGGAGCCTCGAATCCGAAGTCTTCTGCTGTCTTCGGGGTTGCTATTGTGATGTCTGATTAACGTCAACAACTGCTGTAGGTGCCTTCCCTTCATCATGGAAAATGAGACTCGGACCACGGGAGGCGAAGTTTGAGTTCGGAAGATTCGCCGTCGGTTGGCTCCTCTCGGCTTTCTTCCTTCGGAGGAAGCGTTCGGCCCGCTCTCCGCGCGTCTTCAACTCTTTCCAAGTGTTGGACGGTGCGACTCCCATAACTTCCAATATCTCAATAGATAGGTTGTTATGACATGTCTGGAGGATGAAGTCCTCCGTGATCGGATCTCGGCAGTTCATTGCTTTATTCCGAAAGCGCTTGACGAAGTCGTCGACTGTCTCGTCATCTTCTTGTTTCTCAGTTACCAAGGAATGAGTTCTCCATATCGTCCCAGTTGTTAATACTTCCGGGCTTGAGACGGCGGTACCAATCGAAGGCCGGCCCGCGAAGGGTGCCAACAAATGACCGAACCATCAAGGCTTTATTGCTAGATATCATACCCAAGTAGGACTTGAAGTAGATCAGATGTTGAGTGGGTGAACCCTTCCCGTCAAACGGCGTGAAGTTAATCAAGTTGAACTTCGCCGGGTATGCTATTGAGTCCCACTCTCTTGGATATGGACATGGAATGCCAGTCCTCTTTACCTCTCGATCAGACATTAGAGCGTTGATTTTACTCTCGAGATCTTTCATTTTCTCATCCTCGCTCGTATCGGGCTTTGGACGATTCCAACGAGAGGGTTATCAGCATTGAGGCGTTCATCCACATCTGAATCGCTACCTACCTGGTTAGCAGCATTGCGACGGCTGGATTCGCCCATTTGATTGGAAAGAGCCCGAATTACCCTCAACAGGAAGTTTCTGGAGAATATTACTCAGAATATTCTTAAGAATAACCTGAATACTCCAATGGGTACACGAGTCTAAACTGTTTTCCTACCCTCAACAGGAAGTTTCTGGAGAATATTACTCAGAATATTCTTAAGAATAACCTGAATACTCCAATGGGTACACGAGTCTAAACTGTTTTCCTACCCTCAACAGGAAGTTTCTGGAGAATATTACTCAGAATATTCTTAAGAATAACCTGAATACTCCAATGGGTACACGAGTCTAAACTGTTTTCCTACCCTCAACAGGAAGTTTCTGGAGAATATTACTCAGAATATTCTTAAGAATAACCTGAATACTCCAATGGGTACACGAGTCTAAACTGTTTTCCTACCCTCAACAGGAAGTTTCTGGAGAATATTACTCAGAATATTCTTAAGAATAACCTGAATACTCCAATGGGTACACGAGTCTAAACTGTTTTCCTACCCTCAACAGGAAGTTTCTGGAGAATATTACTCAGAATATTCTTAAGAATAACCTGAATACTCCAATGGGTACACGAGTCTAAACTGTTTTCCTACCCTCAACAGGAAGTTTCTGGAGAATATTACTCAGAATATTCTTAAGAATAACCTGAATACTCCAATGGGTACACGAGTCTAAACTGTTTTCCTACCCTCAACAGGAAGTTTCTGGAGAATATTACTCAGAATATTCTTAAGAATAACCTGAATACTCCAATGGGTACACGAGTCTAAACTGTTTTCCTACCCTCAACAGGAAGTTTCTGGAGAATATTACTCAGAATATTCTTAAGAATAACCTGAATACTCCAATGGGTACACGAGTCTAAACTGTTTTCCTACCCTCAACAGGAAGTTTCTGGAGAATATTACTCAGAATATTCTTAAGAATAACCTGAATACTCCAATGGGTACACGAGTCTAAACTGTTTTCCTACCCTCAACAGGAAGTTTCTGGAGAATATTACTCAGAAT